AGGGATTGTGATTATTCAGTGGCTGTGTATTTTTCCCTTTTTTCAATTAAGCTATGAGGAAGAGATGAGACAGAAACAAGAACACACATACACACATTTAGCTACACATGGATAAACACGGTACATTGATTTTTTTGTTGGGGTGGGGGATTGATTCTTTTCTTCCCACTGTGGACAAATCCAGGTTTAGCCAGTTGGAGTATTTGTTGTTTTTCAAACTGGTTTCAGATATGAAGGCTTTACCCGAGGCTGCTGCCTGTTTTAAGTGAGAGATTTTAAGCCGAAGTAAACATTTGGGCAGTTAAAGTCAGCTTGTGTGTTCAATCAATGATGAGACTTTCAGCTCACAATGCCTCATCTTTTCTTTTTCCTTTTTTTTTTTACCTGCCGGTATATCCGGCGAGCACGTCTACTTCATCTTGCCAAAAGCAAAAATCGCAACCGGACCTCTGAACTCCCCAAGAGTGCATTCAAATCAGCGAAAGGTACGGCGTGACATAAATAGGCATATCTATTTTGCTTGCACAATAAATTGAAAAGCAAAGGTCACAGATGGATTTTCTTTAAAATTGAAAAACAATTTTCACCGCAATTTTAGCAAAAATCACAACATTTAGGCAGATTATGTGTCATTACTGCGTATGCATGACTGTCTGGCGCTGACAAACCACTTTGTAATAAGCATTTAACGCAACAATAGCTTTGTAATTATGTTATGCATTAAAAACAAGCCTGCAAGACACCCGTGCTGTTGATTTGTGTGTATTTGCATCCTGTTAGGCCCTATTGTGCTATCTGCTGGAAAAGTAATTACCTGTCTGTGCCGCCCATGCAGTGAGGTGGGCTGCTGAGTTTGAAAGAAACTGAAATCAATATCTCTGCACTGGAAGACACATTTCCTGTCATGGAGGCAAGAAACCTGACTCTAGCATTCATACTAATGTTGGCATTTACAGTGACATTCGCCTTAATTGCATATCAAGAGATTTTCTCTCCTGTGCTTATGACTTTGACAAAACCAGCTCCAGGATTTCAATCATCGAAGCTGTTAAATGCACACTGCTGACATTACTCTGTGACTAATGTGAAATGCTTGGCATGCAAAGCAGGCAAATTTGAAGATCGAAGCCGTTACTTTGCGTGTCGTGTGTCATGTTCTCGAGGCAACTGTTCTTTTTTTTGTTATAAACTGAAGGGGGGAAAAAGGGGAGATGGCAATGTGAAATAAAGGTGATAGATTCTGTCATCAGGCTGATGAAGCTCCTTATACCAAGTGTGCTGCAGTAGTCTGCTGTCCTCCCACGCACACAACTAACCTCAGGCTCACACCTGAAATGCAGATTGAAGAGCAAAAAAGGAGGAAAAAAACCCATCAGTGGCTGTGGTCAGAAATACAAGAGTCATCACTGCGTCCTCCTGCAACCATCCTGTGTGACATACAGCACCTGCAATGATGTGAGCAAGGAAGCATCCATCACTTCATTACCGCTTGGCATAAATTTTACATGAGCTCCTAGTGTTCAGCGCCAAGTGACAATTCTGTGATTCACTCAAAGCTGACAGATCCTTTTGTATTTAATTGTGCCCAATCAGTTCCATGAAACCGATACAGTAATGCATTCACAGCCGACAGAATAAGGCAGTATCTTTCCTCGGTGACGCACAAAAGAAAGTCATTAAAAAGTGATTTTTTAGTGTTATTCTAATAAGGACGATGAAGTGTGGCTGCAGGAATTTTAAATGACTTCGGGGTGTCTGTTTAAAGAAGGCTTTTACTCAATCCACACAAGGAGCATTAAAAAAAGACAGGTTTAAAGCCATGCCTGCTGTTCACTATACTTTGATTGAAATGCTGAAGCTGTCTAGCAGAAGCAAGCCGCTATAGGCACTGCAATGTTAAGTTCAATATTTAACATAGTCACCACCTTCATGACTTGCTTTGTTGTTGTGACAGGTCTTAGAAGTTAACCACATCATTGGGCAAACTCTTAAAAAGTTACTAAAGTTTGTACAGTTTATGGCTTTTCAGTAACGTCGTGGTGGCACTGAAGGAAAAGTCAAGGGCTCACAAGAGGCATTCCTCTTCTCGAGAGATTCCTCCAGATAAGTGAAAACTGCAACCTGGTGGAGGGAAAAAAGGAGAATCAGGGCAAAAACAGCTGGATTAAAGAGATGGGGGTGGGGGTGGGGGGCAATGAATGTTTCTATGGTAATCCAGCTCCTATTTGCTCAAATATTTCAGCCTGGACCAAAAACGGCCCAGACAGTATCATCCGTTAAGCCGTACTTTAATGTGATACATATTTCTTTTCATCCAATGTTCAATATTTGAGCAGGCACACACACACACACACACACACACACACACACACACACACACACACACACACACACACACACACACACACACACACACACACACAGATCAAAAACATGGAAAGTATATTACATGTCGCAGAACTTATTTTAAATTTTGAAAAGCTTGTTGCTCAGCAGCACCTGTGCACCACCTACATGGCGCATTTGATCATTTCTGAAACCCGGTGGGTTTAAAAGTAATAAGGCAAAGCCACAGGCAGATTGCATGATGTTCAAGTGGTATAATGGTCGAGGCTTTTATTGGGCTCCATTCGTGGTTCTATCTGCAATTGCTGTAATGAAGACAGACCTAATTATCTCAGCAGACAGAACTCCACTATGAACAGGACTCTAATTATGGCCTAAATGCTGTTCTCTTATACTGTTCAGAGTCGTACTCGGGGGGTTATAAGAGAGTTGGCTGTGGCCGTCTTCACACACACACGTGCACACACACACACACACCTTGGGGGCTCAGTGTGCTCAGCTGTTCTGATGTGCTTCTGTGCAGGCATCATGGTGTAGTGGCAGGGATTATCTAACATGACAACGCACTCTCTTCCCGTCTTTGACTGGTGACAGCTTACCCAGTCATCTGATTAATTAATTACAACTCCACGTGTCATTAGACCAGAATTCTTATTTATGGTCTCAAACACTTTGCACCAATAGTTTACAAGAAGATCCTATTGAAACTCTAAACCCCCATGGGATGAAAAAAAAAGACAATAGATGAAGTAATGTCTGAACACAAATGTTAGGGGCAGCAGAGTTACTTACAGATAGATTATTCCATCAGTGGTACCATTTGGAGCCCATTTATTTTGAATTTATGAATGTAAAATAACTGCAGATTTATCTGGTCTTGTAGATTGTCTCAAGGCTGCAGAGCAGATAAATTGAATGCCGTGTTTCTAAATTCACACTGAGGGGGAGGCTAAGCGGCTTGTGCAGTGACCTTGATTGTAGCTATTGAACCTCCAAATAAGGAGACCGAACAGATAAGAGCGGCGTTATTTGGCACACAAAGGAAGACAATCCAGTGACGCAGCCGTGGCGTCAACTAATGAGCAGAATCAACATGCAATCACAGAGCCCAGTGAGGTATGAGTTAGGAAACTGGAATGAGTGATAAAGCAAAGGGCAAAGTTTGCCCTCAGTAACAGGTATAGTAAAGAACGTCTGCACAATCTGTTATTTCCGAAGGCCGCTTATATGACTCTGCATTCGCCCACTGCAATTTGGAATAGTAATGCAATTTTAAAGTGGTTTCCAGAGGACAGAATACATTTTGCTAAATCCCACTAAAACGAAGATGAAATGCAGGCGGGGTGGATTTGAAAAGATCATTTCTCGCTGAAACTCTGAGAAATCTGTAAATATCAACGACAAACTTAAGACAAGAGAACGCACTGTGCTCTGTGATGTAGAAGAATTTGTGTTGTGTGCAATGGAAAGAAAAGGAAAAAATCCAAATGATTTTAGGGCTTCAATCACCCCCAGAGATCAACATTATGGCCTTAAACTGCAGCGATGAGACAGTCAAGGTCACTCAGCATACTAATGATCACCAGAAACTCATCCTCTGCCAAAGTGTAGGCTTACTTTAAAGAGTATTACTGATGCTGCGAGCGATAAGAATATGCATTTGATTTACTGCTCATGATAAAAGAGCTTTATTTATTTATTTATTTGTCATCCTGCAGACATTTAATAACTGACTGTAGAGCCCATGACTCTAGCAAGACCTTCGATGAGTCAGGTAGCATCTCAGTTCCGCCTAAATCTGCATGGCACTTCCGTCTCATACAAGGAGCTAGTATGAAAAACACAAATTAAAATTAAAATACAGTACACAACCACAGAAGCTTTAATTAGTCATTTCAGATGGATTGAGGGTTTTTGCTTATTACATGGTCAGTCACTCACAGACTGGATTATTGATGTGCGTAACCAGGGAGGTGGCAATAAACTGGCAGAGGTGACTTTGTATACAAACACCTGGAGTTCATCCACATCTGAAGCAGACAAAAATGTGCCAATTATCACTTCAGGATTAAGAGACTCGTTAATGTGTCCTTTTTGAAAAGAAGCTGTTGATCTGGTTAATTGTTTTTAGACATCATGTAACTGTCAATTTATTTCCTGTTTTAATGTACATTTATGAAAATAAATACAGGAGATTGTATTTCAGTGATTAAAACGGCCTTCAGGGGGAGTGGGTTAGTCTTAGCTTCTTCTGTTACGTGAAATGGTATCAAAATCTGCAGTCTCGCCAGAAACGTTATCTTCTGTAAGCACAGTGTGATTACAAAGACAGAACAGAACATCCCAGGAAATGAACATCCGCACAAAGAGATGAATCTCGACACCGCAGGGTCATGTCTGTGACTCGCAGTGACCCGGTCATTTTAATAAGACTCAACAGCGCCCTCTGGTGGCAGACATGGCGTGGTGCAAATCTTCCTTTTTATTGTAAAACAGTTAATTGCGCTAAAGCACATCTGAAAACTTTTCTTTTTTGTGATTTAGCTTAACGTTATTTTTCATCTCGCACAGCACATGCAACGTTTAAATTAAAATTACGCGTTAAATCGAAGTTTCTGGAAGTTAATAATGACGCTTCAGATTGCGCAGGCGCAGAGTGTATACGTACTGAAAACACGGAAGGTCCAACACCATATTCCCAAACAGAGGCTTCTACGCTGTAAACTCTTTATAAAACGTCGTCGGAGCGGCCCTAGAATAAGCCAAGTGCGGTATTGTTTTATTTTGGCAGTTGCGGTTTAAGAGTGATGCCTGTCGAGTAGTTGGGCCTTTTCTGCTTTTCTGCTTCATCTGAAAGCAAACCGCTGAAGAAGATGCCCGCTCGTAATGTTGTGTCCAACGGGATCCCTAACAGCAAAGTTAGGTATTCCAGGTTAGCCACTGACGACGACGGCTACATTGATTTACAGGTAAAACAGAAGGTGTAACGCTAGGATACGTTACCATTGCTTTTATTTTTAGATAATAGACTAAAGTTGGTGCACTGGTTTCGACCACAACAGTATGAATATAAAGGGGTACTGCAGCAATAGATGGCCGCTGTCATTTCCAGCTAAGGTAGCCCTGTTGACGTCATTGGGGGGTATGTGATATTAATTCTTATAACCTCTTGATGTTCTCATCAAAGTTTGGTGAATGTTCACAAGAAGTACTGCATAACCAACACTTTTAAAGGACTGTGCAAATGTCTTGAGCCACCCTACTTTGAAGGAGTCAGACTTGGCATTTTTTAAGTGGTCCTAAGCAATACATAGCCTGAAACAAAAAGACTGCTGGCTTATTTGCTTCCGAGGGTATTTAAAAGTAGAATGGGAGGCAGAGCCTTGCAGTTTCAGGCCCCTCTTCTATGGAACAAGCTCCCAGTTTGGAAGTATTTCTTGTTCTCTCACCTGTGTTACGACCCCCTCTTTTCACTCAGTATGTGTTTAGTACACCACTCTATTCAATCGTGAATTATTATTAATGTCCGGATCTCTTCCACAGTTTATTGTATCTTTTGTCCTGGCTTCCTCCACCCAATCCCAACCAGTCATAGGAGATGGCTACCCCTCCCTGACCCTTTCAACGTTTCTTCCTGTTAATAGGGAGATTTTCCTTCCCATTTTTGCCAAGTGCTTGCTCATAGGGAGTCGTTTAATTGTTGAGGTATTCTCTGTATTATTCTAGGGTCTTTACCTTAAAATATAAAGCCCCTTGAGGCGTCTGTTGCTTTAATTTGACACTATAAGAATTTCACTCTCAGAAAGTTGAGTTGAATCAAACAGTAGTTCTCCAGGCTTTCTGAAGGTCTTTCAAAAACATTCTTTGGAAACTGGCTGCGTTTTTACTCATTTAAGGTCCAGTCCTTGTACCGGAACATTTTGTGAGAAATGTCTTTTTGTTTTTTCAGCTACGTTCAGCTGTGAATAAAGGAAGCATTAAAAATGGCACCTAACTCAGTGTTGTGTCTACACATAACAGGCAACTTAGCATATTTTAAATCTTGTATTTGGGTACTTTGTTATGAGCAGGCTGTCACAAAAAGCACCTAACTTTATGTTTCTTTAGTTGAATCTGTGAAAATGCCAAAGATAACACAGTTTGACAGACACTAAATAGTTTTTTAGGGCCTGCATTTCAGCCAATGGTGTTTGGAATCTTGTCACAATTAAATCATGAACACAGAAAAGTATGATCAGAGTTTGATCCACCGTGCGATGCCCTCTAGTAGGGGTAGGTGACAGCTTCAAAATTACCAGCACAATATTGCAAGAACATTTACTGTAATGTAAATGCATGCTTTTGCTACACTAGTGATATTGCATTTTGACATTTTTATATCATGTAAAAAATTATAGACGTATTATTGCAGACAACATGATATGGTACAGCCCTACCTTCTGGAAATCGTTGGCAACAGCTTCATTTTTCAGTCGGGCAGAGATCCCAAACACACTGCCAGTGCAGTCAAAGCATACCTGGATAAAAAACACACACAATAGAACACTGTCAGTCATGGATTGGCCTCCTCAGAGAAGGAAAATAAACATTATTGAAGCAGTGTGGGATATACTGTATTTCCATGTGTTTTTGAATCTGTCAATAAATTGCTGCACCTATTTGCCATTTTCCTAGCAAAATACTAAAAGAAAAATTAGGGTTAGCTTGAGATGTTTGCACAGTACTGTACATCCATGTTTTTATGAGAATAGGGCAATTTATTTAAAGCTGATTCGATGGAAAACATCTCTCTAGTCTGATTTTGGCACAGAAGAGGAAAAATGGACACTTCCAAGAAACCTTGTGTTTCACAGAAATGTTTTTGAAATGAAATATTTCCCCTCCTTTTTTTCCCCCCTCTACAGTTCAAGAAGAGCCCACCCAAGGTCCCATATAAAGCCATCGCACTAGCCACGATCCTTTTCCTAATCGGCTCGCTGTTGATCATCATCGGTGCTCTTCTCTTGGCTGGCTACTTTGGCGTCACTGTAAGTAATTTTCTAGCCATCACACTTTTTCTTGTTACATCCTTTTACAGGTCATACAATGTCATCATGTTAAGAGAATAAATGTTTTCTTTCTTTTAGCACACAGACCGGACCGTGCCTGTCCTCATCATCGGGATCCTTGTCTTCCTGCCTGGATTTTACCACCTACGGATAGCTTACTATGCATCAAAGGGCTACCCGGGGTACTCTTATGATGACATCCCAGACTTTGATGACTGACCATTGCTAAAGCCCCAGTCCTGCTGTGCTTACATGTAGTGAATTTAAGGTCGTGATATATTTAAAGAAAATGAGATCCCTTTTTTTTGTTTTTTTTCATAATTGTTTTTAAATTACAATATTGTTCTTATAGATTTTTCTACCTAGGTTCTTAATGCCAGGTTGCTAATAGCAACTGTTTTTATTTTTATTTTTTAATCTTTGTATTTGTTTTATAGCTTGATAAATGAATAAAAAAGATTTGTATTATTTCTTTTGATTTATATAAAACCATTTCAGTTTGTTTGTAGAATATTTTACCTTATGTAGTACAGTAATTTGGCCACATATAGTGAGTCTTTTAACTGCTTCACTACAACCAGTTTTTATTTTGTGTATTCTTTAGGTAGATCCATCAGTTCAGTGGCAGAGAGAATAAATAATTTAAAACTAAAGTAGCTGCAACCAACATAACAAATACCTGGTATACCTATTATATACACAATATCACCTCTGTGGCATAATAATGATATTTAATAAAAGGCTAGCGTTGTGTCTTCACATCCCGTGTAGTGAAGATTGCCTCGCCCTAGTTAATGCTTCCTCACTGCTCTGAGTTGTTCTTTCCCCGAGGATTTTGTGTGATTAATTCCAATCCTTCGATCTCCATATGGTGCACCTGGCCTGTGAGAGTAAACACTGTCAAACAGTACACAAGCAATTAAGGCCTGACATTCTGCTGACATTTGCCCCTCTAATCTGCGCCATCAACTCATCACTCTCAGCATAATTTGAAAGTGTGCTGGTGAAAGCCAAGACTGCCGCCTCGATTCCTCCACCCCCAGATAATGTCATATGTAAAACACATTGCTACTAAAGGTTGGACGTCTATATAATCCTTTCAGAAGCCTAGTAACCCGCTGTTTGCCAAAGGGATAATTCGAGGGTAGCTGCTTGTGTTCTCGTTGTTTCTCTTTCCTTGCTATCGAATGAGCCCACCCAACTGTACACTGATCACAAACTGCCGGGCCTTAGATCAGATTATGCACTTTAAATCAGCTCAGATTCTTTGTTTTTTAAGTGCTTCCTGTGGTTCCAGGAGGCATTCGCACACAAAACGTCTTACAGATGACTGAGATTTACTGTGTTTGTCCCGGAAACAAACATTTTGTATACTCTCAATGCTTTCTATCATATTGTTTTTTATGCTTTCTGAGGTGAGTCTTTTAAAATTACTGCTTTTACGTGAAACCCGTCAAACCTAGTATGTTGATATCATAAGTTACGAGACAATAGAGTTGTTGAGCAGACACATAATAACAGACACAAAGTAAGTGTACAGTAATACTGCAGGGATATTCAGTAATTTTAACTGTTTATATGGACAGATGAGTCCGTGTTACTCTTGAGTCTTGTCAAAGCAACATCACTGCAAAATAGTAATAAAAAGCTAAGTTATCTCAACTATATTGGCTTGTTGATTTTTACTCAGAATCATTACACAAGTGTTTAACTGGGTCAGGTGTACTGTCTGGCCCAGCTGATCCACTGTTGCATCACCCAAAAACAAGGACCTGGCATTAACCTTTATTACTGAAAGGTGATTTAAGTGACTTTAAGTTTAACATGGTTGTTAATGCCAGACAGCCTTGTCTGAGTATTTCAGAAGCTGCTGATCGGCTAGGAATTTTCCCACACAGCCATCTCTAAGGTTTATAGAGGATAATCATAAAAAGATCAATTATTTAGTGAGCAGCAGTTCTCTGTGTGAAAATCCCTTGTTGATGCCAGGAGGCAGAGATGAATGGCCAGACACTAGCTCAATCAACTGCTCTTTACAAGCATATGATACAGACGACCACATCTGAATACTTTACACAGTGAACCTAGAAGCAATTGGGCTGTAGAAAAGACCACAACAGGAGTCACTCCTGTCAGGGTAGAACAGGAAGCTGGGCTACAATTCCTGGCACACTTTGGGGCCCTTAGTACAAACTCAGCATTATTTAAATGCCACAGCCTAACTTAGTATTGCTGCTGATCATGTCTATCCCTTTTTGAGCGCAGTGTATTGTCTGATGGCTGCTTGCAGCAGAATAACGTACCATGTCATAAAGCTCAGATCATCCCAAACTGGTTTCTTGGACATGACAATGAGTTCATTGTACACAAATGACCTCCACAGTCAGCAGTTCTCAATCCATTAGGGCTCCTTTGGGATATGGTAGAACAGGACTTTCGCATCATGAGTGCAGTCGTCTGCAGGAATTGTGTGACGTTATCATGTTAATGTGGACCAAAATTTCTGAGGAACCGTTTTGAATGTTGAATCTATTCCTTCAAGAATTAAGACAGTACTGAAAGTAGCCAAAAGTGATTTCCAATGTTCCTATGTGTTTTTTAATGTCTAAAACGTTTACTTATATTATTTAAAAATGTAGTGAACAGAATTTATGAAGGGGTTTTATATAAAATAAGGAAATGACCTGTTTCGCAGGCATCTTTTGCTTTTTTTTCTGCTTTACATCTCTGCCTTCTGGCATCATTTATTGCAATTTCTTCTCTCCTTTTAGTCTGATCTCTTATAAAAATAATATTAATGACAATCAGAGTTTTTCATTCATAAAAATGACATATAACGATTATAATCCAACAAGTCATTTTTAGCAGTTTAAATTCCTGCAATCATATTTTGGCAGACAATGGTACTAAAATGGTGTGCCTAATAAAGTGACTGGTGAGTGGATGAACCCAGGAACAGTACAGAAGTGATTTTGGTAAATTAGATAAGCTCGTCCGTCTGACCAAACTGATCCACTGTAGCATTACTATTAACCAAGGACACACTAAGTACTATACTATAAACTATACATATATAATACATGAACGTACATGCAGTAGATTCTATATTTGGACACAATCATAAACCTTAGACGGTTAATACAGCCATCCGGTGACACCACGTGATCTGGCACTGGATTGGCTATTTTAAAAAGTAATATAAAGCATACCCAATAATCTTTAACCAGCTGCAGTCACTGTCAGTCACACATGACAGCAGGTTTGAGTATTCGGCTCATTTTAGGAGGCAGGATCACAGGAAGCGTTTCTGAGGTAAGATAATTTGGCAGGAAACTTACTCAAAGCACTCACTCGAAACTTAAAAGAAGTAACAGTCGTCTCATACTTAAATAGAAACGTTTTAGCCTTTTCTTTTAGCAAGAAAAATCAAAATAAATAGTTTTAAGAACACTAAATGACTTTGTGGTTCATTAGCCGGACTAAAGCGCAGCAAACTGTTTAGCTAATGCTAAGTTGGTTTAACTGTAGATACAGATCTTGTTCCCTGCTAATACACCTTTTATTCTATTTTACACATTGTAGTTTTGAGTTTTTTTTTAGTGTGTTGCCTTTTAGGAAAATTAATGTGAGATTTATGGTGAAAATAATAACTGGTTCTTGCTACTATGACGTTTAGCGGAAAGCTAATTCGTGTTCTTTACTGGAGGTTAAATTAGCTTTTTTTTTTTTTAAGAAATGTATGTTTATCGATTTCTAAAACATAGTTTTTACTGGCATTCAGATTATCAAACGATTGCAGCTTTTTTTTTAAAAAAAAATCCCACTGTTAAGAAATTTCTTTCTGGTAAAAAAAAAGTCAGCAGGCTTGTAACAAGCTATTATAAGATGGCTATAAATTATGTATAACACTGATAAATTTTAGGTGATCTTACTGAAAGGGTTAGGTTAGTGTGCTTGTATTATAACAAAATCACAGCTAATCCCGAACATGAAATGGTGAATATTGTTACAAACATGTCCGTTTAAGTTAGTTTTGCAGATAGTTGGAGCTACTTCCTCGCAGCATGTTTTTTTAATGTATACCTGTTAAGTGATTTAACAGCCGACTAAAATGTGTCTTTAAGGTTTGCGTTTGCCTTTTGTTAAGACCATCACCCGTTTTTCCCACGGAAAGGCGCTTTTGTCTGGGGCGCTAAAGGACCAATTTCATAAACTAACACAGACACAGGCAGTAAAGTGACGGAAGTGTATTATTTCACCTTCAAAATTAAAGATACGTTAAGCGATAGCCTCCTAAACTGGAGTTAAACACTTCTATTATTACTTGATCCGGTATGCCTTTGTAGGAACTGTTTAGTGCTGGCATTATTTTTGTTGTTGTTATTTATAGATTTGTAATTGATTGTAGCTGTGAATAGTAGGTCAAAACTGCTAATACCTTATGAATCATGTTCAATGTTTTTCACGCATTCATTGAGCTGGCTTGTTAAATGCTAGATTTGTTATAAGTGTAAACATAAACAGTATAAAATACTGTTTTACAGACGCTGAGTGTGACAGGGAAACACATGCACAGTAGTGCTTGGATGCTGAAAAGAAAGAAACTCAATGGACTTAAGCATTTTGGCATTTACACAGTGACATTAGCAAGTTGACATCTTTTATCTTTAAATTCCTGTTCTGATTGGTTTTTTTCCGTAACAAATAAAAAAAAAATTAAAACGTAAAAGATTTAATTTGAAAGTTCTACCAGGAAGCTTCATCGTTGTGCTCTGTGTGAGTTGACAGCCGTTCAAACGTCGCTGTGGTGGGAGGAGGAGGGAACGATAATAACGGGAGGAGGGCCACCGCGGGGAGAGTATCAACAGCAGGGCTCAAACTAAACGTGTAGTATGCTCTCTTTCTGATGGATCTTGCACCTGTTTGAGGATCAATGTGCTCCAAATCGACCGAGAGCCTTTCAACTTCTTTCTGAACTCTGTTATAAACTCTCCCGCACGATTAAAGGCACTTTGAGGGAGTTTGGACTGAGAAGATTGCGCACATTTAAAAAGAAAAAGAAAGCCAGTGCTTGGAGTGTTTAAATGGACTTTAAATGGACTGATGTCGGAGTCATGAGGGTGGCATGGGTTAATGGATTTTATTGAAGCTGCGAAGAGGTTTTTTTTTTTAGAAAGTCTGAGCACCATGGATGTCGAGGAATAACAAGACTTTCTTTTGATCCACGCTCGGACTGAAAGAGGGAAAAAAAATGTGACCACCTGCCTTCTTCTCCCAGCACCTTCTTATTTTTCTTTTAAGTCGTGTATGTGTGTGTGCGTTTGTGGTGTTTGATCTCTCTGAAGAGAAAGGAATAGACGGATAAACTGGGTCTGTAGTAGGAGTCTAAAAGAAGAGCAT